GTTCTCAGCCTTCTGCTGCGCCTGCTCCTCTTCACTGTATCGGCCTAGCTTGCTGCGCTTCAGAAAGGAGCGGACTGAGTCTGTGGGTGGGGTGGGGGACAGGAGGTCAGACATGGTCCCCCCGGGCGGGGCCTCTGCTAACAGGATGACCTACTGCCCACACAGGGCCAACATTCACAGAGAAACTCTTCTGTTTTGGATGTCAAAGGGCTATTGCCCAAGCCCCGCAAGTCTCCCACCACTGCCCTGGCCTCTCCCAGGACCCCTGGGCCTCCCCACAATCCAGAAATAAGGGGAGGACGGCTGCCTCCAGTGTTTCCCATTACCCCATCCTCCCACGTCCCCTCAGGATCACATGAGCTCCATCCAGGCCCCGAGGCCCTCCATGTCTTCCCCACCACAGTCTGATCTGTCCCCACATGCCTGCACTGATCACCACACTGCCCTGTCCACTCCACATATCTTATCATGCCCTGCCCCCAACAGCCCATCTGTCCCACCATGGCCCCACATGACCCTGACTGCTCCCCCCACACCTGAACCCCCAGCTCCCTTTCATGCCTATTTCCTATGTCCCTGTCTGCCTGCCCACACCCCCTCACACCTTCCAGCCCCTCTTCACACCCATGCCCTGTCCACCCCCAACTGCTCTCTCGTGTCCCCATCTGTCCCCACACCAACCTCAACTCACCCCCTCCATTTTCCTGTGCTGTCTGCCCCACTGCCCACACCACTGATCTCCCCTCCACGTCCCCATCTATCCATCTGCCCCGACCTCCGCCCACCTGCACACACTTCCTCCGGCCCGCACACGCCCCATCCATCCCTGGGTGCCCGTACCTTGCCTCTGGTCGTAGGCTTCTTCTGGGATCGAGTATTTCTTCACCTTGGACACGTCCTCAAACTCCCCAAGGCGGGCACCACTGTGGTCAATGACCTGTCATGAGGGGAGGTCGGTCGGTGGGGATCAAGGTCCAGCCAGGGAGCCCTGGGATGCGGGTGTGTGGGTTGCACACTGGAATGTTCCACAGATGTTAAGTGTTTTCTGTCAGGAAAACCCACATCCCTCTACCTTCACATTTCCCCAGCCTTCTCTCCTTTCCAGAGCCCAGCTGAAGGGATGAGAGCAGGCGTCTACACTGTCCATCTCCCCTTCTGCACCTCATCCAAGCCCCTGGAGGCTGCGTCTGCCCCCAAACGACCCCTGCGTGCTGACATGCCCATCACCGATGGTCCCCAAGTCACTGGAGCTGAAGGGCAGAGCTCGGGCCTGGCCACAAGCCCTCTAGGTGGCTTGTCTATCCTCTCTGGCCTCTGGGATCCTCCTAAGCTGGTCTCAACCTTCAGACCCTGGAACATCCCTTCCTGTACCACCTCCAATATTCACTCACTCAGCCCTTGCTGAGTTCCTCCAAGGCGCCCAGTTGGCCCTGTGCTGGCGACTAGGGACACGGTGCAAAAAGAGAGACAGCCCTGCCTTTAAGGAGGGTTTGTTCTGCTGGGAGACCAACCACAAACGTGTGCACAGGTACGTGTGTTACAGCCAGGTCATGACAAGGGTCTACGTAGAAACATACCACAGATGGCCTTAAAGAGGATAGCAGGGTGGTTAGAGAGGGCTTCTGAGAGGAGGGATGTCTGAGACAAGGCCTGAAGGATGAGACGGAACCAGAGGCACAAAGTCCTGGATGCAGAAACAGCCTCAGCTCTTCTGGGGAACAGCGGGGAGGCCAGCGTGGCTGGAGTAGAGTGAGCCGGGGGAGAGTAGGAGATGCAACAGATCACTGTAGGCTTTGGCTTTTACCCAGGATGAGGTGCAGCCAGGGGAGGCTCTGAGCCGGGAGGGCCCTGACCTGACTCAGGTTCGCAGGCGGCTCCTGGCTGCCTGGCTGCCGTGGGGAGCAGACTGCAGGGGGCGGGGACGGAGCAGGGAGACAGGGCGGGGGCTGCTGTGATGGTCCAGGAGGCAGAGGATGGAGGCCGGGCCAGGGTGGGGCAGTGGGGAGAAGAGTTTAGATCCTGGATAGATGCTGTGGGTGGAGCCCACAGGGTTTGCGGAGAGACTGGATGTGGATGTGAGGGAAAGAGAGGGGTCAGGAACACCCTGAGATGTTAGGCCTGAGCCCCTGAGCTAACATGGCAACGCTCACCCTGACCCACTCACACTGTATAGGCCTCCATACACTCTTCCCTCCACCTGGCATGCCCTTCCCATTTCTTCTAGGTCGCTCTTTCCTCATCCTCAGGTCTCATCTCAGGCATCCCTTCCTTTAGGAAGCCCCTTCTGATCCTCCCAGGTGGAGGTGGGTACCTCTCTGGGCACTCCCAGTTCCCTGGGCTTTCCCCAGCCCAGTCCAGACCACTCTGGCTGTCACTGTCGGGTGATGGGTCTGTCTCTCCATACTGGACCAGGGGATCCATGACAGTAGGGCCTATCTTAGTCATCACACAGGGTAAAGTATTGCAAGCATCTGTCAAATAAATAAATGAACGGAGGGGAGGGATCACAGATGGGGAGGCCTCACGTGAATGCGGCAGCCATCGTCTACGGGGTAGGAGCCCAGCAGGGCATCCTCCTGATCCAGCTTGCCGTAGAACTTGTCGTCAGCTCCATACAGCTCCAGTTCCATGCAAGAAGCAGGGCTGCCCACCACCAGCTCTAGTTTACACTGTGGGGGGCAGGAGAGGTGGAAGCTGTCAGTGGCCCCACCCTCCACCTGAGGCTCCGCCCCTTCTATCAATAACCATCACCCCATCCTTACTCCTCCGAGACCCACCATTAGGATCCACCTGGTTACCCCTGGCCGCCTCCCTCGGTTCTTGTTCCCGCCGTCTGGAACCTCTAGTTTTCCCCTGCCTCGCCCCCAATCTCTGCAACCTCAGCTTATCCCTGGCCCCACCCTGCGTTTGGGAAGCCCCTCCATTTCTTCTTTGCCCCGCCCCCTCAAACCCTGCGCCCCGCCCTCCGGGCCCCGCCCCCACGGCCACACCTTGAACTCAGCTATGGTGAGGCTGCGACTGTATCGCTTCTGGGAGCGGAAGCTGTTCAGAGAGCTGCTGATGAAAACGGTCACTGTGGGCGCCGACAGCCCCGTCACCTCCATGTCGCCGCGCCCTGCCGGGGCCCGCAGCCCAGTCCGCCGCCTCACACCGGCTCCGCAGCCGCCGCCGCTTCTGGGCTATCAGCCCCGCCCCCTGCTCGCGACCCGGCCAATCCGCGCTCTCCCGCCAGGAGGGCCGGCCAATCGCCGCCGTCTCTCCGCCCCCAGGAAGAGGGCTCCCCGTAGTCTTGGGTGGGCCCAGCCAATCCCGAGAAGTGTTCCATGGTGCCCAGTTCTTCCAATAGCCGCACGGGAAACGGCCGGGCGGCGAAGGCCGAAGCCGAGAGGAAGGCCTGACAAGAGTTACTTGGGCCGCGAGGGTAAACTCGCGCATGTGCACGGGCTCTCAGCCAGCGACGAGCAATGGCGTCTTCATTTATACCAAGCGCTTTGCGGGTTACGGGACGCTCGTATTCCCGGCTCTCGTACCACGCTATTCTATAAATGGGGAAGCGGGGCCCAGAAGTCAGAAGCAATTACTGTAGAATAGCAAAAGATCGAAGCAAGCAATTAATCAAACTTCAGCGCAGAGAGCCCGGCACAAAGCCGCTGCGAGCCGCTGCGTGCGCGCAGCTCCGCCCCTCTTTTGGCGAAGCAGCGAGGCCTGACCCTTCCCGCGACCTGTTGCGCGCGGCGGAGCAAGCGCAGAAGGCTCGGCGGGTCGTGCGTGGCTATGGAGCCGGATGGGACCTACGAGCCTGGCTTCGTGGGTATTCGATTCTGCCAGGAATGGTAAGGCTGGGGCAGCAAGTATGGAAGGGGAGCAAATAATGGCCCCAGGGCTGACCTCTGACCTCCCCCTCCCCACAGTAACAACATGCTCTACCCCAAGGAGGACAAGGAGAACCGCATTCTGCTCTACGCGGTGAGCGGAGCCCGCGGGTTGCCCCGGGCTTCCCCGACAGGTCCACCCGTTCCCAAGTGGCCCCGCCCTACTCCACGTGACCCCTACTCCCTGTTTTTCTCCCGACGCGCCCTGGTCTCGCCTCCTCACCACCTCCCGAGTGAACCCGACTCTCCTGTCTTGCCCATTATCCCAACCTCGAGACTCCATCCCCTAATTATCCCCTTTGGGGAAGGCCCTGCCCTCCCTCCTGACCCCATCGGGGATCGCTCCGTGACCTCCCCGCCACGCTCGCTCTCTCGCAGTGCCGGAATTGTGATTACCAGCAAGAAGCCGACAACAGCTGCATCTACGTCAACAAAATCACGCACGAAGTGGAGTGAGTGGCCGGACCGGAACTTTGGGACGAGGTCGTTGGCCTGGGAGGCCGGGTTTGAGCATAATTATTCACTCTCTCTTCCCTCAGCGAACTGACCCAGATCATCGCTGACGTGTCCCAGGACCCCACGTTGCCGCGGACCGAAGACCACCCGTGCCAAAAGTGAGCGCGCAGCTGGTACTGGGGAGGGAGAGGGGCTTGTCCTCTCCAGGCAGAGAAGAGAGGAGGGAAGGGTATGGCCGACTGAGTGGCTGACTGTCCCCTCAGGTGCGGCCACAAGGAGGCAGTGTTCTTCCAGTCGCACAGCGCCAGGGCCGAGGTGAGTGGCACGAGGAAGGCTTTCTGGGTTTCCCGGGTTTAGTCCTCCCCGGGGGCGGGGATACCAGTACTGGCGGGACCCTGCCCTTCCTGGCGTCCTGAACTGGTCTCTTACCAAGGGGGAAAGCCCCCTGTCTGTTCCTTCGGGTGAGGCTCTGCTGGATGGAGGTTCCATGTTGGACTCTCCCGTGGGTCCAGCCTTCCCTAACCGTGCGTCCTTTCTTCCAGGACGCCATGCGCTTGTACTACGTGTGCACGGCCCCACACTGCGGCCACCGCTGGACCGAGTGAACCCCCCTCCCCTGTGCAATAAACGCTGTGTTGGGTGTGCGTTTCCTGTGTTTATTTGCCTCTCGTGGGTGGACGCGGGTGCACAGTGTCAGGCGCGGTGCAGGGCGCGGTGCTGCGCGTAGGCGTCGGGCCGCGAGCTGGTGAAGCCGCAGTCCTCGCACACGTGCAGTTTCTCGCGGCGCTCGCGGTAGGCGTAGCTGGCCGGCTGCCCGTGCACCTTGGCGAGATGCGCTTCCAGCGAGCAGCGCTGCGTAAATGCTTTGCCGCAAGCTCCGCAGCGGAATGGCCGGATCCCTGCGCAGGTGGGTCCGAAGGGGAGAGGACAGACAGGGTAATGGCCTCCGGACCAAAGCCATCTTGCCCTACGTGAGCACGCCGCCGTTCGCCAGACTCCTCCGTCAGGTCCCACCATCTGCCACCTCCTCCCGGCACAAACATGGGCCAGACACCTGTATCCCTACCCTCTTCACCAGGAGGTTCCTTCCTCCGCACCCTTCCATCCGGGACCTGCATCCCTTCACCAGTATTCGTCTTCAATCTACACCCCTTGCCAGGCCCCACCCTAGTGCCACCTTACACCCACCTGCCCACCTGCTGGGATCTAAGGTACACGGTGTTCGAGCCTGCAGACGGCTAAGTCTCTGCCCCACAAACAGGAAACTCCACATCCCTGGTGCCTTCTGGCGCCTCCCTCCATTTCGTTCCGTCCCCGTCTGGGGCCCAGCAGCTCCTCCCTGTTCCTACCACTGCTCACCGGTGTGAGTCCTCATGTGGCGCTTGAGGTCAAAGGCGTCGTGAAAGCCCTTGCCACAACAGCGGCACACGTGGCGGCGCGCGGGGCTGTGGCACTTGAGGTGCCGCGTCAGCATGCGTCGCAACGGGAAAGCCTTGGGGCAGAGCGGGCAGCCAAGTGTCCCAGGGCCCCTGGCAGTGGCGGCCAGAGTGCCCTGTGTGGGCTGTGGGAGGGATGTGGGAGTTAGACCCCTGGCTGGAACAAACGGAGTGCCTAGACTGGGGAACCCAGGAGGTCTGGGAAGGCCAGAGACTGCTACTTGTGCTAATTTCTGTCTTACTCTTTCAAAACACTAGTTGCCTGGAACAGTTCCTGGCGCTCAAATACTGAGTTAATCTTGGCATATTTACATTCCACCCATGCTTTCCTTCTTCCAGTGCATGCCTAGCTGAATAGCCCCTCCGGGAGGCCCCAATCTCCTCCCCCATCCCGCTCCTGTCACCTTGTCTGATCCTCTGACATAAAGCAAACCAACCTCCACTTGGTTTAAGTCTTGGTCTGCCCCACTGGACAGAGAGATCCCTGAGGGCAGGGGCTGTGGCTGCCTACCCTGGGGACATGGAGCTTGGGATGAGGCCTAACAGGGAGCTCACTACTGAGAAAGTCAAGGCATTCCCAGCAGAGAGAACCATGGGTGGAAAGGTCCCAAAGCTGGAGGGGCTGGAGGGTGAGGGGAATAGGGGGCACTCAGGTTCTGTAGAGGCTGACAGCGGGCAGGGGTGAAACTGAGCGGGGTCTTGTGGGCCAGCAGCACACTCACCGCCACCCAGGGGTCCCCGTGGCTGGAAGGCTGGGGTGCCGGTGGCCCCCCCAGGCTGCTGCAGTCTGAGGAGAGAAGCCAGACAGTGAGGCTTTGTGTCTCCCCGCCCCTCACCTCCAGGCGCAGGGAGGGGCCTACCTGGGACATAGGCGTCTCCCCGGAGCTGGTCAGGCAGGTGGCCCCAGTTGGGTGGCTGTGGACGCCGGCTCCTGACCAGGAAAGCACGAGGCATCACCTCCGGGAATGGGGAGATGGCTCCACACACTCACACGGGCTGCTCCTTTGCCTGCTGTCGGGCCTCAGCCCGGGTCTGACTATCCCAGGTGGGAAGGGAGGGGAAGCCATGGAGGAGCCTCCTTCTCTCCATGCAAATTTCCTGACAGGCCAGGGAGCAGACTTGGCTGGCTCCAGTTACCTCTGCCTCCGGGTCCGCTGTTCCTCCCTCTTGTCCAACGCTGCGTTTCTGAGGGCACTCTCCAGCCTCCAGGGGCACACAAGTGCTAGGACCCCCAAGGAGATCAAGAAAGGGTGAAACAGGAGCCTAGGGGGCTTTAGGGGGTGAAGACAGGAAACAAAGAGCCCAGGGGGACTGAGTGTCTCCCCATGGTACCAGCAGGGCCAAAGGCCTGAGAGTCTGTTTGCCAGGCAAATCAGTCACCACCGGATGTCCAACAGCTGCTTGGGTATTCAAATCACAGCAGCTGTCTGAGGAAGCAGGGGAGGGGGCAACTGTGATTGCCTTGCTCCAGAGCACGGAGGGACAGCAGGGTCCTATAGGTAAGGGCAAAGTGAGGATCCAGGCTGTGCATCCATCTCTCTGATCCTCAGATGCCCAGGGCTGACTTCAGCCAGAAGCACTGTTCAGGTGTACTGGGCATTAGAATCCTGGTTTGTTAATAGTTCAGCTCATAGTGACTGCCTGGGACACCACTCCCCCACTCTCCCACAGTCCAGGAACTAAACAGTGTCACCTGACCCAGCCAGGGCTCCTCAGACCCTACCCTAGCACGCTGGCCAGGCTGTGTTCTAGATTGGTCATTGTCTGACCTCTTAACCAGGGGTCAAGGATTTTGAATACTCCTCATGCAGTTACTTTCATTTATTCCCCCAATAATTTTCTGAGCTCCAGCTACAGACCAGGCCTGGCTCGGCACTGAAAATGAACACACAACTTAGTCCATGGGAGACTCACACTGATAGCCCGGATGACCAAGGCTAGGATGGGGGAAGCACAGGCAGAGAGCCAAGCAGCGATGGGGAAAACCCAGGGTGCTCGGGGGGCCTGGAAGAGGCTCCCGATCCAGCCTGAGGGTTCAGGGATGACTTCCGGGGTATGAGCCCTGAAGGAAGAGGAGGTTTCAGGTGGAAGGGGAGGGTGTTCCTGGCAGAGGGGACAGTCTATACGAAGGCTTGGTGCTGAGAGAAGCAATATTTCTTCATTTATTCGCACTCCCTGAGACTCAGTCCTGCTGACTCCCTTGAGGAGGCAAGGGGGCCAGTGCTGAGAGTCTGCCAGCCCAGGGCTTTGCCGCTTCACCTCTGCAGGACCCGGGCAAGTCACTTCTTACTGAGCCTAAGTTTCTTCATCTGGACAATGGGACCGATGAGTCCCCCTAGTGCTGGTTTGTGTTGAAGATCTATGTAGATAATGTCAGGAGAATGCTTAGCATGGGGTCCAGCATGCGGCCAGGGGGTTGTTTGGAACTCTTGAGAGGCAGGGTGGCCAGGCAGGCATCTGTAAAGTGCGGTTTGAGGTGTCTCCATCTCACAGCTGTTGGATTGCATGCAGCCATGACTGGAGGGCCCGGCACAGGTCTGGCAGCCCAGTATCCAGGAGCTGTCAGACGTGGAGTGCAGGGGGCCTCCTTCAGTTGCATAGAATGAGCTGGCAAATAGGTTAGGGGGAGCCATTTTCTGTTTCTTCTCAGGTGCCCAGTTCTCCATACTCCCGACACCATGTCTCTTGAGCAACTTGTTCCTGTGTTGTAGCTGAAAACGCATTAGGGAAAAATCTAGGGCTGGAGATCTTCATTTGCCCCCAGCCACCCTTTCTGTCCCATTCTGCCCTGCTCCGTGTCCTGGGAGGCTGACCTGGGTGGACAGCATCATCTGGGCTCCCACGTCCTCTGGCTTCCAGCAGGGTTTGGACAATGGGGAACCCCACAGAAGATGGGGGAGGGGATCCCCCAACTCCCTCCCCATGGGCTTGGCAGGAGCACAGCTCCCCTCAGGGCAGCCCACTCTCCAGGATTTGCTCTTTGGGATTCCACTATGCACCCTCGTGCCTTGAGGCCTGGAGGTGACAGCTTTCCTCCGGTACTAGTCCGGGTTCGGTACCTGCCTGTGGGTACTCTATTCCCTATCTTTTCCTCTGCAAATGCTCCCTTCCCTAAACTCTCTGTCAACTGTCCCACTTGAGCATGCTGTCCTCTTCCTGCCGGGCCCCTGTCGATGGATGGCCCGCACACACATTCATCAGCAGTGGTTTCTTAACCAGCTGGTTTGTCCGAGGAGAGAAGTCTGGTGCTTCCATGGATGAAGAGCTTGGCACTAGGAAGTGGAGAGTGGCAGACACACTGGGTCCTAACTACCAGCCACCTTTTGTGCTGAGAACCCTATTTTGTTTGAGCAGCAACATGCCCAGGACAAGAGGGCAGTTTCAAGCAAACCAAAGCCATCACCATTCCTGTGGCCTGCCACTGATCGGAAAGGGGAGGCACTTGGGAAGGCTTGCAGCTTTTTCCCACTTCCCTGGCAGCTGCCCAGCTTTGTGCCTTTGCTCCTAGTTGGGTGAGGATGTATTGCTGGGTGCTATGGCAGCCATGTTGCAACTGTGAGGGCCTAAGGTGGAATGTGAAAGTCAGACTCACAGAGTGACAGAGCAGGAACATAATCAAGACAACAATTATCCCTACAGCTTGGGCCCCCATAAGCCAGGTGTTTGCTACTTGGAGTTGCAGGCTTAACTATGATACAGAGTGGGAGGACGGGTTAATTCCATGAGGGACAGAGGTCCAGGATGGTCCCCTGGGTGTCCAGGAGCCTGGACACCAAATCTTGCCTCAGGGATCCTAGGCGACTACAACCAAGCTAGGCAAGGGCAGGGAGAGTGGGTCTCTAGTCTTGCGGGGTGACCCGTGGGCCTGGGCAGGGAGCCTCCTCGCAGAGGTGCAGCCCACCTATGAGTCCTGGACCACCTGGGCTCCCTGAGCAGAGAAAGGGAGTCTTAAGAAATAAACGATACTGGAGCTCCCCAAACCCCCAAATCAGGGATTTTATTTAGGGAAAAAAATCATGTTGTGAATGTTTCTTAGACTTAAATGTCATGAAGGAACAGGGCCCCTCCCACCTGCTCTCCTCTCCTCTTCCCCCAGCTCACCCCATTCCAGCCATCCCGGCTTTGTTGCTATTCTTTACCCATACCTGTGATCCCCATGGGGTCTTTGCACGGGCTGTTCTGTCTGCCTGGATATGTCCCCAAGATGTCCACATGGCCTGTGCCCTCTATCAAGCCTCGGCTCAAATGTCATCTCAGAAAGGCCTTCTCTGACCCTTCGGCCACACAGTGACTTCCCTCAGCTCACCTACAGCTGTTAGTAACTGTTTTCATTCCTGGGTGTACTGCTCTCTAGGAGGTGAATGCCACGGGGGAAGACGCCTTGCCTGTGCTCTTTCTCACCCCACCTCTAGAGGGGAGGACAGTGACAGGCACCCGTGGGCTGGCAGGATTTCTGAACAACTGCATGATTGGTTCTGGTGTGTGTCAATGTTTCCAGAGGCAGCAGATCCATGTCCTCATGTCACCAAGAAAGCCTAGGTTTAAGTCTCAGCTCTATGGGACTCTGGGCAACACAGTGGATTTCTCTGAGCCTCTTTCTGGTGGGCCATGATCACAAACAGAGCAGAGAGGAACTCACAGGCAAGTGTGGGTTCAGGCCACAACAGGCTACATGGTGGGACTGTGCTTTAGGAGACAGCCCTGCCCCTGCTGGCTTCCGTTTTATAGAGACTTGGGACAGTGGGGGCTTTGGTGGTCACAAGAGTGGCCTTCTTAGCAGACACGCCATATGGCTAGATGCCTGCTGCCTGGGGAAGCTGGTACCAGTGCTGGGAGCTCATGGGATGCTGAAGCTGAACACAATCCTCCTGCTGGGGAAGGAATTACGGATTCCAGCTGCTGGGTGGCCTGGGCAGGCTGCCCAGATTGTCCAGTGGGTGACCTGTTTGTCTCTTCTCAATTTCCCCTGCTGCAGATGGTGACAAAAACCTGGACCTCATAGGATCCACATGGGCCCCACCAGGCATGGACCACCCGTGACCCCACAGCAGCTCACTGGGCTGGGGATAGGCAATGTGGCAGCCAGGCACTGGGATCATCATTACTGCAGTTCCCAGATTTCTTGGGAATGCTGGCCCATTGACGGCGTCCTGGAGCAGGGACTGGCATCAGGCATCTGTGAGTTCCCCAGGCTGGTCCACCAGAGCATTGCTCTCCACCCTCCCTCCCCGACTACACCTGAAGGGGGCTCTGTGGATGCGCCAGGAAAAGGAGCAGGAACCACTCCTTCAAGCTGTCAGTTTATTGGATTAAAATACCTCTCTCTTCAGAAGCAGCAGGGCTGCGGTGCAGGGGGCTGCTGGCCCTCAGTCCCCCCGGGCCTTCCTCCGCACAGCCTGCACCAGCAGCTCCGAGTAGTGTTCCAGCAGGGCGTGCAAATCGGGGCTGGCAAGGGGGCACAATGTAGGGGGGGAAGGGGGCCCTGGGCTAGGCAGGGCCTGGTCTGGGGCCACATCAGTTCCAAGCAGCCAGTCATTGGCCTCTAACTGGCAGTGGATCCAGTGGAAGGTGGAGGCCAGCTCAGTCCGGGCCTGCCGCTGCTCAGCGCTCACCTGGTCACTGGAGACCACCTGCAAGAGGTGCCAACCTTGTTGGGGCCACCCAGGCCAGGCAGTCCCAGGGAGCCCCCTCGGCCCTTTCCCTGGACTCTGGGGCTTGGCTCACCAGGTGGTAAAGGTCCAGAGCTTCCTGGAAGGTAGTCTGCAGTCTGTGCACAATGGTCTCCACACTGCTCAGCTCAAGGGGAGCCGGCATCCCAGGCTCCCCCCACCGTCTGGGGCTGCCCTGCAGTAGACTGGGCGCATCTGGGAGCAGAGGGAGGGAACAAGAAAGACACCGCTACTTCCCAGCTGGTCTGAGAGAGGCCAGGCTAGCTGGGCGGATCCTGAGTGTTGTCACTCTGCCTCAAACACTCCCCAGTCCCCAAGGCTCCCTTGCCGCCCCTCCTGCAGGCCTCTGCTCGATGCCGTCTTCTCCCCAAAGCCTTTTCTCATCATCCTGTCTAAACTGTAACCACTGCCCCCACCCCTCACTCCCTAAACCAGCTCTTGCATTTCTCTCCTGAGCGCTTGTCAGTGGGTGACATACTTAGCACTTTCCTTATAGATTTAGTCTGGGCATCTCCCCCAGTTAAGGTGTCAATTCTCTGTAGTCTTGTTGACCACCATGTCCCATGCCCCCAGGGCCTAGAACAAAGGCCAACACGTACACAGTGGTCACTGAATATTTCAGTAAATGAACGAATAGATGGAGCAGCCCCTGTGGCCAGGTCAAGTGCCTGCTTTTGGAGCTGAGTCAGCTGTTACAGGGGGTGAGCTAAGGGGACAATCCCTTATCCTGAGGGTGGTACTCACCAGGAGTGGGCTCCAGGAGGGAGGTGATGCTGCCAGGGGCCCCAGGACTGGCCTCTGGAAGCGGGGGCTTGTTGGGGTGGGCAGGGGTGTTGAGGGGCTCAGGGGCTGGAAGCCTTGGGAGAAAGGCGGAGTTGTGGAGCCTCAGGGTGCTCCCATCCATGGGGCTATGGGCCAGGAAGCTGGCTGTTGCGGCCATGACATCAGGCTGGGTGGCTACAGGTTCCTGGGACCAGACGCACGTGGTAGGAGGCTCCAGCAGGGGTGGGGGCAGCAAGAGCCCATCACATATGTTCGACAGGGTCAGTTTCAGGC